CAGCGTTGCCGGTTCGGTCGCGAAACTTCGACAGGTCATAACTTCTTCGTTATAACTCGGATTTCGGCATTCTTTATATCTTCGGAAACCTTGCTTCAACTACTACAACATTATCCAAACATATCAAGTTTATTTTATACTTAAATTTTGACGCTTATTTTTATTCTTAATTAATCAAACCACATAATTAAGCAATTAAGCACAAAACACATAATACTCAAATAATACACTTATATTATTTCACAACGGGTTACAAAGGTTAACCTAGACTATTATATCAACATTAATGACAGGCCCAGAAACACAGGCATTACAGAAACCTAATGGCCTAAGGGGGAACAAAATTATGATGGAGATCCATCATATTTTCGTCCATAGGCCCTATTCCAGAAAGTTCCATGGGTTGCTTGGTGACTAAGTTGACCATTAGGGTTTAGAGTGAAACCTTAGCAGCCTACAGTATAAATAAAGGCCCTTGCTTGCAATTTTCGGTACTTTGACTCGAAGAGAAACCCTAGGGCCGATTTTAGCATCCTTCCTCCTCTCTCATAATAGCCTTCTTGCTTGTGTGGTGTTTATAAGCCATTAGAGGAGTTACAATTGTGACTCTAAGCTCAAGACCAAGAAGAATCAAAGGATTTCAAGCCAATTGAAAGAGGTAATCACTTAGATATGTTCTTATAGTGTTAATTTCAAAGTATGCATGCTAGATCTAAGGTTACAAGTCTTGGATGAATTACATGTACAATAGAGAAGCCTAGATCCAAGCTTTAGGGTTTTGCATGAGCACATAGGATGTTCTTTTGCATTAAAACCATCAACTCCCACCAACCCCGCAACACTCGTGTATGTTAATCATACATAACGTTGAATCATATAGACAATCAAATACTTGATTCTACCCTAAGCCCACAACCAAACAAGGAATAGGAAATAAGGCCAAATCAAACATTCTAAGACTATAAAATCTTAGTTATATACAATTTTAATGCATACACTAAGAAACTACAGTAATGATGTCAATTTCATTCAAGAATAACCATAGGCCACCAGGCATCATACAATCAGACAATTATATCATACAATTCATGAAGATCCCTAGCAACTACAGTAATGATGTTAACACAGTTAAGTCGACTTAGGCTTCGTACGCGGGGGGTACTAATTGTTCGAGGCATCAGGGCCAGATCTACGTATGCGCAGTGTACCCTTCTGTACGACCAGCGTACGCAACAATCCCCTACTTAACCGATTAAGTGCTTATTTCTCTGACTTAACACGTCCAATTGCAAATCCAAGGGTAAAACACCATCAAGAGTCATAAAGTTTCCAACTTTATGACTTTGCATGTCTATTAAGTGTTTAATACACAAAGTATCAACATCTAAATGCCTTAAGACCTTCTGTAGCATGCATGGAGTAAAACTAACCATCAAGACCACATTTTTATGACTCAAGACCCCTCATAAGGTCTGAAAGGACGACTTGTTGGGTTAAGAGCATGCCATGCTCAAGAATCACCATATTTGGGACCAAAAACGCCCTAAATGAAGAAATAACTAGATCTAAAAGATAGAATGATCAAGTTATGAACTTTTTACCTCTAGGAGGTTGCTAGCAAGTGGGGAATCCCATATCTAAGTTGCTTGCAGGCTTCAAGGTCCTTGCACCAACTTCTCCTGCTTCAAGAACACCAAAAAGGCACACAAATGAGCTCAAAACACCCTTCTCACTTAGGGTTTGCCAGAGGGTCGAATTCTCAGATGGGAGCTGATGAGGGAATGATAAATGAGGCTATAATGATGCTTATATATGGACCAAACCCTAAAAATTAGGGTTTGGAGTTTCTCCACGTACGCCCTGCGTACGAGGTGTACGCCCAGCGTACTCGGGTCCGCCTCAGTACGCTCCGCGTACAAAACGTACACCCAGCATACTACCCTATTGCCTAAAATCACCAAAATGCCACTATGGGCCATTTTGCATTCTTTCTTATACTTAAGGGACTAAAATGTAATATTTGTTCATATATAGGGTTAAAATTGAAAACACATCAACATCGGGATGGTTATTGAAATTCGGATTCCTTTTAATATTTAGGGTTTAGAAACCCAAAACACTACCAAATGGTGAATCAAATTCATAGATGCAAAGTTTGATGTTAGTTACATAATCTAAGCTTGATTTAACACTGAAAATCTAGTAAAACTACATTACATGATTATAATTCTCATAATCAACTTTAAAAATGAAAACCCTAAAAATCACCATGGCATAAGTTCCTTTATCTCAAATCTTGATTATTATCTAAAGCTTGTTTTTATTTATGATCAGTATGCAAGAATGACCCTTCTATTTTTTTTTCCAAGTTATGACACCATTTTCCATATTCTTTTAAGTAAACTATGTTAACTTAAACTTAAACCCCAACATCACAAATCTAACAAAGTAAATCAAGGCTAACAGAGACAAGTTTGCTCAATTTGTCACTTCTAGTCCTTACTCATATTTTTTCTATTTAAAGACTATAAATACTCAAATTCATGTGTCTTCCTTATTTTTCTAGTAATTATTTATTTACAAGAAAAAATCAAATATGAGGATGTTACGTTAAATGGTCGTATTCTACTAGTGATTGTTACAACAGAGTAATTTTGAGACGATACGTGTTGAGCTTGTAGTATAAAGTCGATTAAAACTTTAGACGATTTCACTTTTTTGAAATCCTCCATGTCCACTTTTAATCTTTAGTCAATTTAGTTCCAAACTCATTTTCTTAACTAAAGATTGTAGGTGTGAAAACATAAGTGAATGAGAAAAGTGAGGAAGAAAGAACCATGAGATTAAAAAGAAACTTTACATAAGTACATAACGAAGAAATAACAAAAATTTAGATGAATAAATTGGATTAAGTGTTTTATTCTCTAGCCGCTAATTGTAATAATTTGATAATGTTTATATAGTTCAAATTTTAATTTTTTTTTTTTGAATAAAATTAAAAATATCATATATAAAAATAATATCTAAAGATTATAACTATTTTAAAGTTTCTAGAAGTACTTTTATAACTTTTTTGTAAAATACAAAATAAAAGAATGTAATTTTGTCATTTTAACATAAATATCTAAATTCTTTGCAAACCAAACAAGATTGCATTTCAATTCTATTCCAAATTTTACCAACCAACCAAACACACAACATATCTTTTATCATTCCAATTCTAAATCCAAATCATTTGATATATTCAAAATGACACAAAAACATTCATGCAATGATTGCAATCAAAACTCGATCTTTGAGCAATGCGAAGAAGGAGGGTTGTTCTAGTGCATGGGTGCTTAAATCCAGCGTTGGTGTTAAAATGTCCTACTGCTGAAATTGGGCATTGTTGAATACAAACTGATCCTGAACGTTGCAATTGTTAAAATGGCAGTAATTGGTCCTTAAACAGTTAGATCTTCCAGTGGTATTTTGCAAAGTTGTGAAATTTGTGATTAGTTTATTATAAAGGTTAAAAAGTATATGTTTATTGAGTAGAAGTTGTCATCTTGATAGTTTAAAATCCCTTTAAAGTGTCTTTAGATGCTTGTAACCTCCTAATTCCCAAACCACTTTATTCGTAATAGTTGGGTCTTTATTTTAATAATTATTTTGAGATCATAGATGATATATTAGTTATCACAAAATAAAAAAAATAGGGAGAAGTTATAATCCATGGTGACATCCAATCGAATTTAACTTGTATATGTTTAAACATATTATCTAATTAATATGTTTGATTATTTATTTTGTCGGTTGTAAGTACAATATTTTAATAAGAAGATTTATTTTAAGGCTCTTGAAAATATCTACATGTAAGTAGGTAGCACTGCAGTGGGTGCAGAGAACACCACACCGTGTGGGTGTTTTGGTACGGTACCCACCCTGTGAGACACCATTCCACCACATTTTTATTTTTTTATATTTTTTTAACTTCGTATTATTATACAGTACATCTCATTGTCGGATATTTTGAAGAGAGGGATATGTGATCATTTTCTAGCCACAAGAGGGTGATGAGAAAAAAGAAAAATGACATGTTAGACAAAAACTAAAATAAGGGGAGGATGATAGCTCACATTCACACCCTTGGCCTAAAAACCAAAAAGCAATTGCATAAACCATAAAACCATCACAATCAAGTTTAAGATTTATATCAATTGTTTATAAAAGTTTATAAACTAAATTTCGTTTTTTTACAAAAATACAACAGTTGCCGAGCATAGTCTTTATACAAAATGTAATCTTAAGATATATATAAACACAAAATTGAATACGAAAAAGTTGGTAAAAAGAATTCATCATCTCCAGAATTGAGTCCTTTTGCTTTGTCCTTTTAACTTGTTGTATAATCTTTTTCCAAAGTTTTTTTACATTCATTCCTGTGTAAGCAAGAATAGAATGTCCTCTAAAAGCACTTCGTGATGAAGCAAAGCATATCAACATTGCTTCTCTGGCTAAGGTTGTACTTTGTGCCTGGATAAAAGTGCCATAGTTAGAAAGACTGTTTTAGCCTTTACTAGAATAGAATCATCAAGTTTGGAAATGATAGTGTTTCGTTTCCTCTCATTTTCGTTTTCTAGACCCAACAGAGATTATATTTTAACATATATTAATATAATAGCAAGTAGGAACATATATTTTAATTTTCTCGTTTAATTGTCATTTCTTTTGTTTTCTACACACCTAGTTGCTGCAAAGGTATATGTTATGCCTTGCCCCCACAGAACCCGAGGTTACTTGCTGCAAAAGGTAGTAGTAATCAACACATCATGCATGCATGCATGGTGTCACTTCACTAACAAGCAAAGAATGAACAAAAGGAACATTAACCACGATGCGGCTGGCCCTTCTCATGGCCTTAATTAAGAGTTTAAGACCAACCATCGTATCATCGTACCTCACAAGTCACAACACAAACACTTAGAATCCCCAAAATGATCCGATTAAGAAATCGTCAAATGAACCATGAACCCGTTCCCGGAGTTCCCCCTCTCCAACAAGATGACTACAAGCTCAAAGACACAAGCCCACAATTGGGTGAGCGATTGGCAACCACATATGATCTCGTGGAACAAACGTACCATCTTTATGTTCGTGTCGTGAAGGCCAAAGACCTTCCTGTTGGGTCAGATCCGTATGTCGAGGTCAAGCTCGGGAATTATCGAGGCCGAACAAGGCATTTCGAGAAGAGACCAAACCCCGAATGGAACCAAGTCTTTGCCTTCTCGAAAGACCGTGTTCAATCATCAACTTTAGAAGTTTATGTAAAAGATAAAGAGATGTTCGGGCGAGACGATTATATTGGAAAAGTGGTTTTCGATTTGAACGAGATTCCAACACGAGTGCCGCCGGACAGCCCGTTGGCTGCGCAGTGGTACCGACTGACGGACCGACGGGGCCAAGGGGAGATCATGGTTGCAGTCTGGATGGGAACACAAGCAGACGAAGCATTTCCTGAAGCTTGGCATTCAGACGCTTCGTCTGCTCATGGAGAGGGTGTTTTTAATGTCAGATCGAAAGTTTATGTGTCACCGAAACTTTGGTATTTGCGGGTGAACGTGATAGAAGCTCAAGATGTTATCTCGAACGATAGGTCGCGTGTTCCGGATGTTTCCGTGAAGGCGCAAGTGGGAAACCAAACATTGAGAACAAAGATAAGTTCCGTACGTACAATGAATCCTCTATGGAATGAAGATTTTGTGTTTGTTGCAGCCGAGCCATTTGAGGAACATTTGGTTCTCACTGTTGAGGATCGGGTTCATCCTTCGAGAGATGAGGTTCTCGGGGCATTGAGTCTACCGTTGACAATGTTCGAGAAGCGACTTGATCATCGGCCGGTTCATTCTCGATGGTTCAATCTTGAGAAGTATGGACTCGGTGAAACTAGGTTTTCTAGTAGATTGCATATTAGGGTTTGCTTAGAAGGGGGATACCATGTTTTAGATGAATCGACGTTGTATATAAGCGATCAGCGACCGACCGCTAAACAACTATGGAAGCAGCCGTGTGGTGTTCTCGAAGTTGGAATTTTGGGCGCAGAAGGTTTGCTTCCGATGAAGATGCATGATGGGCGAGGTTCCACTGATGCTTATTGTGTGGCGAAGTATGGACAAAAATGGGTACGGACACGAACGTTTCTCGACACGTTGAACCCTAAATGGAATGAGCAATATACGTGGGAAGTTTACGATCCGTGTACGGTCATCACACTTGGTGTTTTTGACAACTGTCATTTGGGAGCCGAGAAATCAGATACTGGACGAGATTCAAGAATCGGGAAGGTCAGGATTCGGATATCAACTCTCGAAACTCATCGAATATACACACATTCATACCCACTTCTCGTACTTCACCCCTCTGGGGTGAAAAAGATGGGTGAGCTCCAACTTGCGGTTCGGTTCACCACGTTATCACTAGCCAACATGGTGTACATCTATGCACACCCTTTATTGCCCAAGATGCATTACTTGAACCCGTTAACAGTTAACCAAGTCGAAACTTTAAGATACCAAGCCATGAACATAGTGGCGGCACGTCTAGGTCGAGCCGAACCACCCCTTCGGAAAGAGGTAGTTGAGTACATGTTAGATGTTGATTCTCACATGTGGAGCATGAGAAGAAGCAAAGCGAACTTCTTTAGGATCATGTCGTTGCTTTCAGGATTATTTTCTGTTAGTCGGTGGTTCAACAATGTCCGAGAATGGAAAAACCCGATCACGACAGTCCTCGTTCATATCTTGTTTTTGATATTGTTGTGGTATCCCGAGCTGATACTTCCGACTATCTGTCTCTACATGTTCTTGATCGGACTATGGAACTATAGGTTCCGAGCCCGACACCCGCCTCATATGGACCCAAAACTTTCATGGGCCGAGGCAGTGCACCCTGACGAACTCGACGAAGAGTTTGACACTTTTCCAACATCAAGACCGCCAGATGTTATCCGAATGAGGTACGACCGGATTCGAAGCATTGCTGGGAGGATTCAAACAGTGGTAGGAGATTTGGCTACACAGGGAGAGCGGATAGGGTCTTTACTTAGTTGGAGAGACCCTCGAGCCACAAGTCTCTTTGTCGTATTTTGCCTTTGTTTAGCTGTTGTTCTTTACGTGACTCCTGTTAGGGTGGTGGCTTTAGGTGGGGGATTATACATGTTAAGACACCCTAAGTTTAGAAGCAAGTTGCCTTCGGTTCCTGGAAACTTCTTTAAGAGACTTCCAGCTCAAACAGATAGCTTACTCTAACTGGCATCAAATCATCAAAGCATAAGCAAGAATCTTTCCTCGTTTTGGTTTTTTTAACATGTTTGACTTCAGTTTCTATGTAATGTTTAATTAATTACAATAATAAATGTTTTTCCCTTCTATGAACATGCCTAAAGCAACATTGTAGTCCTAGTCTGGAAATCTTCAAACTACAGCAAATGTGATTCAAATACAAAACGATTTCAGAATCATAATGTTTCAAAGAGGATGCAGATTATAGATACCAAAATTCAATAGCAAAAAAGGTAATTTCATCGTTGACAACCATCAAAAACTGACAGAATGCAGCCTCAAAATCTAGAGCTTACACAAACATAATCAAGAAAACAAAATTAACTCAAAGACACTTCATCTAAAAGACAAGCTCATGTGGTTTCATGCCTGCCTTGAGTGAAAATCTTGCACCCAAATAGCTTTTCAAGTCAGGAACAGCCTCAATGGTCTTTATCAAAGCTGCATCAACTGATTTCTGGTCATCCTTTTTCTCCTGTGGAAGCAAGCTCTTTTCCTATACACACATAAAAAAAAAAAAAAAAAAAAGTCAAAACATGCATAAACAGATGTCAATGGGACAAAAGCTACAATCTTGCGTAGTCAAAGTAAAGTTACCTCTTTCTCTGCTTCAAAAAACTCGCCTTCTCCTTTGGTCTTCTTCTTTTCAGTTTTCTTTCCAAAGTACTTGTCATCAAACTTCTCCACATTCACCCCCGAGATGTCGACCTTGGTTGATGTAGCAATCACATATGACTGATTTACCCTCCTCAAAGGAACACCATTGATCTTAAAAGGACCTAAAAAAAGAAAGGTAGAGTACAAGTTCAGATAACCATTGCAAAAAAGAATCTGAAACTCAATAAGAAGACTTATTTTTACCTGTAACCAATAGCAGTCCAGATGTAAGTTGTTTCAAGAAAACAACTCTTTTCCCCTTGAATCTCCCAGCCAATATGATCAGCACAGTTCCAGGAGTAATACTGGATCTGAACACATACATATAACAAACATATTCAATACACATAATACATATAATCTATACATGTAAATAAATAGCACTGCAGTATATCTATTTATAGTATATACTATAAAGTACATAGATTATGGACCTGAGCTTGGTGGGTCTGGCTTTGCGTTTGTTGACAAGGGGTTTCTTCACATCATCAGCTGGATAGAACTTTGGTGGCTTCTCAGTTGGTGCAGCAGCAATGGCTTTTTTCTCATGCTTAGGGAAAGCTCCACCATTTTTGGCCTTGATGGCCCATAGACCCCTCTTGTGGTACATTTGTGAGCGTGAATACTTGCCCACACCTCTGATTAGATCAGGGTTCCTGCTGACATGGGGTTTCCTCTGCTGTGGTGCCATTGATTCTTACCTGAAAATCAGCATACAAACGAAAATTCGTTTACACCATGGAATGATGGAAGACTTAAATGCACACTATTCAATTTGACTATTAAATTTTCTTTCTTTGGGCTCCTTTCCAATGGTTATTGTGGGTGTCGATAGTTATCAACGAGGAATGAAGATGAAGCCACAAAGCAGTGAACCTTTGATGGTATAAACAAATGAAACCTCAACTGTTTGATCCAAACAGATTGGTCCTACTACTAATCAAGTACAAAATCACTCATTTCGTACAAAACCTTCAAGTCGATAATTCCCGAGCTAACAAAACCCTTAGATTAAATTCAATGGCAACTCATATCAAAGAAATCCAGTAGCATAAGGCACCCCTAATTAAACAGAGCATAATGTAACAAATTAAAATTTATCGGGCACCGAAAATACATACGAACCAAGGTACACACTACTCTTCAATGGACGTTATTCGTTTGTAAGACATTCAAACAGAATCAAAATAACAAAAAGGAACAAAGTAAATGTGCTTGGGTTCTAAGCGATGAAACAGATGAAGCAAGCGAAAGGCATCGCATTACCTGTAATGTGGTCTCTGTAACGAAGGGCAGCGGCGCTCTCCTGCAGTCGGCTGAACAAATGGAAGAAACCCTAATACACAGGTTTATAAGTAAAACGCATAAAGGGCAAAACTGTCATTACACACCCCCTCTTTTGTTTTTCTCGATTTTAGCCTTGGTCCCTTTTTTTTCTTTCAAAACCCTAGATAATGCATCAATAGACCCACTCTTTGATGTGCGAAAATTAAATGACCTAATTTAAACCGATTAATGCTATAAATGTTTTGTTTGGCATGCTTCTAAAGGTTGTTTATTTGGTTGATAAGTTAAAAAATAAAAAATAAATAAATAAATAAATAAGGTATAGAATAAAGTTTAAACAAGTTTATGATCTTTTTCCTATTTTTTTTTTTTTGTTAATATACCCTTACTCGGTTTAATTATTTGTTAGAAAAATCATTAAATTATATGATAAGTGGAATATTTATTTTCTTTTTAAAAGCAACTAGGATGATCCCATTATGAACCGCGAGACGGTATTTCTGTAAATTTGTCTCACGTATAGGGACCATTTGTGTAACTTTGTTACAAATAGATCATTTATGTAATGTACCTTAATTGATTTTTATTATAGCATCATATTTTTATTTTTTTCTATTATAGCATCGAACTTTGACAAATATACCAAATTATAGCAATATCATACATATATAAAGCAATTTTCACAAAGTATGATATCGTAATAAGAAAAAAATTTCATTGATGTAATTATGTGGTAAAAAATAGTTATCATATAATAATAATAATATAAACAATTTAAATCTTACAATACTATATTCTATAGATTTGTTTTCTGTCTCATTATTAGAAATTGAACCCCTTCGAGAGACGCGGAGAGGGTGATTTTCCGATGCATGCATATCATTCTTTTCCATTCCTATGTAAAATGATCTGATTTGTGGATGGCAATTTTGTAAAAATGAAAACAAACAAATCAAAATTTGAGATTAGATTTTACCAATAGAATGAAACATGAATATTCAGTGGTTACTTGATCCAGTATAACAACCTGCTCAAACAAAAAAAAACACACTTATTAAAAAAAAAATGAAACGTCCTAAAAATAAGACCAAAAATTTCATTTTTAGATTAATAAAACTAATATCCCAAAAACATCATCATAAAAATCCAAATAAAACAAGTGTATCCATCGTCATCTCATATCAGAGTAAATCGCAAAATATGGAACGAGGTGTATGTGCTATGCAATCATCGCAAACTCTTCCCTTTGGAACTAGAAGTACCTGAAACATAAACTGAAACCGTAAACACAAAGCTTAGTGAGTTATCCAACATACCACATACCATATACAAATAAACACATAACGGACCCCGCCCAATAAGACTAGCGGACCTCGCATACACTCGAATAACGGGGTCTGCCCACTGAGTATAATGACCCCACTCAAACTCGCATATCGGACCCCGCCCAATGAGTATAATGCCCCCCCAACCTCGCATAACGGGCCCCGTCCAACCTACAAATCATATTAGCACATACATATACAAGAGTCACATAGACATCTAGTATCCTAGCATCACTGATCATGGGTCGGCATTGGTGTCTTAGACCTGTTAAACATGGTGAGGAAACTCACTTCGTACTGTCGAATCTCACTGAAAGAATCCTTGGTTGTTGGCCCGCTAAAATCATCGCGCTAACAATCACAAAATAATCATCCAATCAATAATTGAATCCCGACCCACACTAAGAGTCCAAACTAGGGTAAAAGACCTTTTTACCCTTTCCCTAACTTGGCCTCAAGGCCATAGCCCAATCCAGATGTCCAAATGCCAAATTTCCAAAATAATCACTCGAAATCCAATATGGCCCATTTTTAGCCTAAAATAGCATTCTGATGGCTCAATAATACCCTAATCATCCATAGTACAAACATGGCCCAACACTGTGAGCCCAAACCTTTCGAAGCCCAACTGTTAAGTACGCGGGGCGTACTCAGTTCGTACGCTAAGTGTACTCGCATTGAGGCTTGTACACGCGGCGTACCAGCTTATACGCCCAACGTACTCCTCGACTTTGCTAACCTTCCTTATTCAGTACTTATTTGATTAAGACTTCTACCTAAAACCTAGATCTGGCTTCTCTAAGGTGGTTTATCACATAAAGTTGCCAAATTTATGTGCATGCATGGCTTAATGGACCTTTAGAGCTCAAAATAACTTAACAAAGGGTCTTAACACATGCATGAGTCCATAAACACCTCCAAGCTTGCATTTTTATGAACAAGGGGACCCTAAAATGCTCAGATCTACAAGGTTAGGCTCCTGAAACGACCTTAGCTCATAAGAACCAACCAAAATGCACTAAAATGGCCATAAACAAGTTCAAAAGAAGATCCATACAAAGAGTTGTCAAGGTAAGATCTTTTTACCTCAAATGAATCGCAAAAGGAATGATGATTCTGGATCTCTAAGCTTCACACCAAGCAATGCACCTTCATTCTTCTTCTATCCCTTCAAAATGAGTAATAAAACACCAACTTTTCTTCTCAGGAGATCAAAGACACAAAATGATGGCTAAGGATCAATATTTAGGGTTTAGGGCATATGAAGGCTGGTAAAAGGCCAAGATCATGGGACTTGATGAGCTTATATAGGGGTTAACCCCTAAAATTTAGGGTTTCAAGTTAGCCAGATTACGCCCAACGTACGAGGCTCGAACTCGCGATCACACGCTCGGTAGTACGTTAAGCATATATTATGGTATGCCCCACGTACTAACCACAATGACCAAAAATGCAATACTTTAAATACGAAGGGTTAAAAGGAAACATACCTAATCCAAGTGTTACAATTCTCCCCCGCTTGAATCAAACTTCTTCCTCGAAGTCTGTTGCTCCAAATAATTCCGGGTAGTGCTCCCTCATCTCATCCTTCAGCTCCTAAGTCCACTTTAAACCCTTGTGGTGCTTCCATTGCACCTTTACCAACTCAACAAGCTTGTTCCGCAAGGATTTCGTCTTCCAGTCAAGAATCATCACCGGTCTCTTAATATAGTTTAGACGGTCATCCACCTAAATATCCTCCAACGGTACCACTGCGGAATCATCCACTAAGCACTTCCGCAACTGAGAGACATGAAACGTGCTATGAATATGAATGAGTTTATTTGGAAGATCCAAGCAATATGCAACCCCACCCACCCGAGCCAAAACCCAGAAAGGACCAATATACTTGGGGACCAGCTTGACCCTCGTCCTGAATCAAATGACACCTTTCCAAGGTGACACCTTCAGGAGAACCATATCCCCCAATTAGAACTCTAAATATGATCGGCGCCCGTCGACATAACTCTTTTGTCGACTATAAGCTGTCTGGAGCCTACTCCAAACCTGTTAAATCAGCTCAGTGGTCTTGAGTACCACCTTAATACTCCCCATAACCCGCTGTCCGACCTCACTCCAACAAATTTGGTACCTACGTTTCCTCTCGCAGAGTATCTCTGTAACAACCCATTATTCTCAATTTAATAAGAGCCAAAATCCCATTTCGATCCTTATGTTTATTCATACCCTCTATTACTTCAAGGGCATATCTATAAGCTAATAATTACATTATAGCTTGAGTGTTAAGTGAACCATGATATTATAACTTAATATAAGTGAATATATTAATGTTTAAATCAATCAAATAAACCCCAAAAGGGTTCACGGTCAAGGAGTGAACTCCAAATGGAGTTCACGACCAATAAATCACTCCAACATGGATTTCACAATCCAAGGGATTCAAGAAAGGGTGTAACACCATTAATTTTCAAACAAAAGATTTCATTTAGAAAGACAATTATCTCATTTACAAAATCCCACACATGTCCCAAAAATGTTTATAACACAAATCTAGGTTCCTCCAAAAACATATCTCCAACTCAAGTGTGTGTACAATCAATTTGACACCTTCACGTGATCCTAAGAGGTACATGAAACACATAACATATAACACGGTAAGCACGCAGCTTAGTGAGTTCCCAAAAATACCACATGTAACATCCCAAAATTTCAGGCCAAAATTTTCATTTTTAAATAAGTTATCACATAAAACCATCAGTATAAAAACATTCATTATAATATCTCGTGACAAACCAAAGTGTCGGTAATCAAAACATATTATCATAAAACCATATCAAAATGTAATCCCAAAGATCTCGTGTGCAGAAAACATAGTGTGATGCGCTGCTATCGAGCCAACTCCCTTCCTTGAAAACAAAATACCTGAAACCAAAACTGAAAACCGTAAGCACGAAGCTTAGTGAGTTCCCCAGATACCACATACCATACAACCCAACTGATCCATACATGCCATACATAGCCAAGAGCCATACGTAACCAACATATCCATAATCAAGTAAGGTGCTATGTGCTAAACATAGTCTTGCTAAGGTGCTATGTGCCAAACATAGTCTTACCAAGGTGCTATGTGCCAAACATAGTCTTGTGGTTATGCCACGGGTCGCACGTGGGCTTCCTGGTCAAGCCTGGGGCCACTCCTTGGGTCTTACAGACAGGTGCCAAGGGCTACCCCCTGGTCTTTCATGCAAGTATCACAAAGTCAACTATACATACTACTCTATTAGGCTACTCCGCATATAGTGTGCCAAGAGCCACCTCCTGGTCTTTCATACACAATGGCATACAGTGCGCCAGGAGCCACCTCCTGGTCTTTCATACATATTTACTAGGGCTAACCCCCGGGTCTTCCTATCATACATAATAACATACTGTGTACCAGGAGCCGCCTCCTACTCTTTCATGCATAATGCCTAGGGTTAACCCCGGGGTCTTCTTATCATACATAATAACATACATTGTGCCAAGAGCCGCCTCCTGGTCTTTCATGCATAATGCATAGGGCTAACCCCCGGGTCTTCCTATCATACATAATAACATACAGTATGCTAGGAGCCGCCTCCTGGTCTTTCATGCATAATGCCTAGGGCTGACCCCCTGGTCTTCCTATCATACATAAACTAAATGGGCTGCCATTGGTGCCTTAGACCCATACAAACAGTGAGGAGACTCACCTCGCACTGTCGAACTTTGTTGATGATCCTCTGGCTGCTGATTGACAACTCTCTGGGCCGCTGCTCCACTAGCTC